CAGGAAGTATAGGCGGGACAAGGAGGAGAATAAAGCTGGGAAGTGGAAGGCTGAGGCAGAGAGACACTGCCAGCCGCCACAATGAGAAACAGCATGTGAAGATGCCGGTAAGCCACGAGCCATGTGGCAAGGTACAGACTAATGGAAATGGATTAATTTAAGCTGTAAGAACAGTTAGCAAGAAGCCTGCCACGGCCATACAGTTTGTAACCAATATAAGTCTCTGTGTTTACTTGGTCGGGTCCGAATGGCTGTGGGACTGGCAGGTGTCAGAGATTTGTCCTGACTGTGGGCCAGGCAGGAAAACTCTAGCTACAAAGACCGGCTACCCAAACTGTTCTGAATGCCCATGCTCATCACAGTTGTGCCTCTCTCGGCCTTGGCCGGAGAAGCTGCTTCTTACAGTAGGTGGAGGTTAATGCAGGGACTCCAAACTGCTCAAAGTGAGCTGCCCATAGATGGGACATCTGTATCAACCTCCAACCCCTCTGAGGAACACTGCTGAAGCAAAAGCAGAAAGAATGGAGGATGGGGCAGGAGAGCTGTATTTTTGTGAAAATTTCATCTTCTGAAAGCAACATACTGTTAAACACATGAACTCACAACAGTTGTGATTACCTGCAAAAGATTAAACCATTTAAAAATTTTAAGATTGGGGGGGCGCGCGCCTCACAGGCTCCACCCCTAGCAAGGAACTATTGGCAGCTGATGGTTTTTGGGGAAGAGTCATTTTTCTTTAGCGGAGGTCAATGGTAGGAAGGTCAAGGCCTATTGGATAACCCTATACCCACCCATACACATACAACTAGAGTTGGTGGGTTATAAAAAAGAAAAGAGCTAGGTGGTGGTGGTGCACGCCTTTAATCTGAGCACCTGGGAGGCAGAGGCAGGCTGATCTCTGAGTTCAAGGCCAGCCTGGTCTACAGAGTGAGTTCCAAGACGACCAGGGCTACACAGAGAAACCCTGTCTTGAAACACCCCCCCACCCCCCACCCGCAAAAGACAGGCAGCTAAGGAGAGAGACACATGGTGGAAAGGGAGATAGAAGGGGGTGGATATGACCAAGATACATTTTATACATACATGAAATTTTCAAAGATAAAAAAACCCAAAACTACCAGGCAATTCCTACCATCTCTTTTTCCCAGCATTATGATGACCGTGTGTGTCTCATGGGTAGGTTAGTGCTCCACTGTAAGGTACAAGAGCATTAAGAGCCAAGAAGAGGTTGCCATTGAAACCGCTCAAAATTAAATGGGCTTTAAAAGCAAGAGAAATCAGCTCTAAAAATTGTTCATTTACTTATTTTTTACAATTTAGCTGTATGGGTGTTTTCCCTGCATGTATGTTTGTATACTGGTGCTCGAAGAGGCCAGAAGAGGTCCTTGGATGGTTATGAGCTGCCATGTAGGTGCTGGGAATAACCTGGGTCCTCTGAAAGAGCACCAAATGATCTTATCTGCTGAGGCATCTCTCTAGCCCAATATAAAGGAGCTTTTGAAATTCAATAAAACACTAAAAAAAGGACTAAAAGTATTTAAATTATCTTATACTGCAGAATGTCAAAAAAAAAAGGTAAATAATTTGTTCATGTTCAAGGTAGAGGTAGGGTACTCTGAAACATCAATTATACCTTTTGAAGGAATTCCCTTATCTTGTCAAGATCTTTTCCAGCATAAATATGCCACAAAGCACCAGGTATTTCACTCGAATCCTTTAATCTTTTCCTTAAAATATCATCCAATTCTTCTTCTTCAAATTTCTTAAGTATTCCTGAAACACAGGCAATTATTTTCAATTGGTCAGTAAAGACTACCAGAGAGCTGGACCGTCTAAGGCTGAGTATCAGAGCAGGAAACATTCTGTCTTGCCTTTTTCTTTTTCTTTTTTTTTAAATCTCAATATGCAGCCCAAGCTAGTCTGGAACTTGTCATGCAACAAAGCCTGAATTGCAACTCCCGATCCTCTTGTCTCAGCTTCTAGACAAAGGCATGTAATCCCACTGCAAGGCTAGGGTCAGTACTCTTGTAGTCCTGGCTGTCCTGAAACTCATTCTGTAGACCAGGTTGGCCTTGAACTCACAGAGATCCACCTGCCTCTGCCTCCTGAGTGCTGGGATTAAGTGTGCACCGCCACCACCACCTGGCAGGTCAGTACTCTTTAAATCCAGTTATATACACAAAACTGTTGGAGGAGCAGAACCCTGAGTTTAAGACTCCTGTGTCCACAGGAAGAGAAATAGTGGTTTCCCGTGTTATTTGCTTCAAAGACTGAGAATCACTACTTTAGAGCTAAAAATTTAGTTTCAAAATAAACAACCTCCTCCCTGTCTCAGGGGTGGTCTGAATAATGTCATAAACTCAAGGCATATCTTAACCTACAAAATTATTTTTTGAAATTTATTATTTGGCTTCTCTAACGACTAAGAGCAATAGGAACCACTGCCTTAATTTTATGTTTCAGCTAAACTAAAAGGCTGAGTGAAGTGAGTAAAAAGGCTTAGTTTTATATGAGTGGGTTTGCTTACTAACGAGAAGCATTCTGGTTAATTTCAATCGGACCTCTGTCCTTATTATGGTTAATCTGTCAGCACATGCAAATTGATCTCATCATAAAGCTATGGTTCTAAGGAAACATCAGGTAATCTTTGTCAAATGTTGGCACACGGGAAATCACTGTATCTATGTAAGAACATTTGGAAGAACACAAAAGTATTAAATCTATGCTCTTTAAGTATGAAGAGTACAGCAAAATTTTCCACGTTGACTTAAAAAACCATGTAAGTAAGACGTAATGTCTTGTCAAACAAACACCATCACCACCACCACCACCAACGAAAAAAACACATAACACAATACATTACCAATTTCAATTAATAGATTGGTATTCCCAACTTTCCACTTTAATTTTACTACTCTAATTTTAAATTTTATTTATTATTGTTATTGTTATGTGTCTGTCTAAGGAGGTGGGTAGGCATGGGGAGGTGAGATGCTGTCTCAAATTTTACTGCTCGAGGGAGGAATCACCAGTAAGATGAGACTGACTGACTAGGTTAACTTTCCACTGGAAAATGAAGAATGCTCATAGGATAAGATAATAATCTAAACTACACTTGAAGAAAAGAGACAAGAGAGATATTGCAGGGGAAAGAATGAGCTCAGTATATTCAAGTAGACTACTATTTCTTGAGATGTTTGATTATCAATTATAACCCCAAAACATCCCTTTGTGAACACCTACAAAATAATGATTAAAAGCCACAGAATTATTTGAAATGAAGTTTTCTCAAGAGCAAAGATACTAGGAACAGGGGGATAGGGAATAATTAGGCCATGAATGAATGATACTACAAACAGCAGATGTTAAATTCCTCAGAGTGAAAAAATTGCTGCAGGGGACATTTAAATAGAGCAGAAGGGCCACAGCTGCTCTAGCAGAAGACCTAGGTTTGGTTCGATTCCCAGCACCCACATAGCCACTTTTCCAGTTCTAGTCGATCCTATGCACTCACTGGCCTCTGTGGGTACTTCCATGAACCACATGGTACACTTACACAAAGGCAAGCAAAACACTCACATACAAATAACCAACTACCTACCTACCTACCTGAATGAGTGAATGAATGAATGAATGAGTAGAATGACATACAAAACAGGCAACCAAGTGCAACGAATGTCAGATGCAGAGATACAGACAGAACTGAAAACCAAACTAGACGAGGTACAACTCTAACTGTAGCATAGTCTGTTCACACAGGGTCAGATCAGGTGAGTGTTCTGAGCAGCCAAGTCCAAACTGTGAAGAGACAGTAACCCCACCACCCACCACAACGGTCCAGTGAAAGAGACACAGAGTGTCAAATAGGGCAAAGAGTGTGTTCTGAGGGCAGGAGTAACACACAGTGGAGAGTCTGCTCTTATTCAACTGCACCATCATCAATCAGAACGGGGCAATACTCCACCACTGAACAATACGCCTACTTTGAAGGCACGGAGAAGAAAAGCTGAAGGCTCTGACTTGCTATGTACAAAGGAAGGAATAGGTGACAGAGCAAAGTTTTAGAGAAAACCAGAGAATGAAAAGTAAAATCTAAGAACACAGAAAAAAGGTTTTTTCTTCTGAATCCAATGGGGAGTCAGGTGGGGTGGGGGGAATATTAGAATCACAAATGGTATCTCACATTGACACCCTCAAAACCTGTTGCCTATTCAGCAAATAATTCCAAGTGAGTCTAACAAAATGCATTCATAAATACAATACACAGTAGCTCTGTAACCAGTAGCAACTGTGGCTGCTCTTTACGTTTCTTTACCCGCTTTTGAGAGGACACCATTTCCTTTTGCTATGCCGACATAGACCAGAATATTCACAACATCAGAAGCTTCAACGTGGAGATTTGTGGTTCCGATATCATGATCCTTAGCAGCAGCAACACCTGTTTTGGAAATGAGGCCTTTTATTCTAGAGTACATTGCATCTACAATGTACAGGTATGACCCCATAAAACAATATTATAATTTTAGTTTTAGTTGCCTTGTTACAAATACTTGCCCCTAAAATCTAGCTGCTAAAAACTGTCAATAGAAATGCTACATACAAAACAACTCAATAAAAATACATAGAAATGTTATAAGGAATTAAGAAGTATTACTTAAGTACACTGGCTGTTAATTCCTATACTGCTACTTGACATTAAAAGGGGTTTCAACAGCATTATCAAAAGAACAGGTTTACTAATAGGTTAAAAAAAAATCATTGGACCATTTGCTTTTAGGCTGAAATCTGTTAAGCTCCCATAGAATCCCAACTTAAAGAGAAATGTAAACATACACTTACCATAGGCACTGCACAACCTGGGTCCTAGATCAGGGCGTACAAAGAACCCTGGCAAATGAGAGGCCAAATTGAACTTCCCTTCTGGGTTGCAATATTCTGGCAATGGCAGACTTCTTAATAAGTCTTCATATCTAAAGATAACAACACAGCTTTCTTTTGAATATAGATTTGCATTTAAACTATTTTGAAATACAAAATTCCTTTTTTGGGGGGGGGGGGGGAAGGGGGAGGGTAACGGAGTTTCCCTGTGTAGCCCTGGCTGTCCTGGAACTCACTCTGTAGACAAGGCTGGCATCGAACTCAGAGACCCACCTGCCTTGGACTCCCTAAGTGCTAGGATTAAAGGCATGTGCCACCACCGCCCAGCAGGAAGTACAAAATATTTAATTTGTGAAGAAGACTGCAAATATCTTTCCCTTAAACTACACAACACTATTCTAGAATCAATCCATTCAGAGTCTAAACTGGATTATTATACAAGGCAGGCATTAAGTATACATGATACTAATGTTTCAATTATACTTCCTTAGGGAAACAAATTAAGTAAAAGCTCCAACAAGAGGGAGGCCTACAACAGGACACTACAGGACCCCAAACACAAGTATTTCTTCAGGATGAAGTCTGGTGAGTCTACAGAGACTTAAGTTTTGCTTTTATTTATTTTTATTGAGAAAAACAAACAAATAAAAAACTTTAATGCTTATATTAGTAGTTACTTAAGCTGGGAACAAGCCCAGCTCAACTTCCCAAGTCATACCTTGCTGGCATCATGGTCTTGAAGTCTTCCCCAGATGGACAGTCTTTCAACTTTAAAACTACTGTCTCTCCACTTTTGTTTCTCTGCCGTTCTATAAAAATAAGAGTTAGTTACTTAAAAGATAGCGTAGGTCTTTTTATTAGTGAAAGAAATGTGAATGGTTAGATTGTTGTACACAGGTGCTTCCTGGACACTGATGGGCCTTTTTCTTCATGTCTTGGTGCAGCACTGATACATTTGAGAGTGAGAGTGAGAGAGAGAGAGAGAGAGAGAGAGAGAGAGAGAGAGAGAGAGAGAGAGAGAGAGAGAGAGAGAGAGAGTGTGTGTGTGTGTGTGTAGCAAGTCTCAAGAGGGCCTTGCATCTACCTCCTGGAGCTGCAGCTGCAGGCAGCTGTGAGCTACCCAAAGTGAGCAAACTCAGGTCCTCTGCAAGAGCTGCTGCCAAACCATCTCTTCTGACTCCAGATTTTAACAGGAGACACACAGCATTAACTATTTATAGTATCTAAAACAAAGTGTTCTTCAGAATTATTTTTATTTGTAATATTAGTCTTACATTTATAGTTTTTAACTTTCAAAATGTTGGACATAATCTATATAATTTAATTTCCACAATTTTGAGGGGTTACCAAAAGTCCATATCAGGAAACACAGCTTAAGTTATGTCAAAATTAAAGGAAATTAGGACTAGAGTTGGGATTATGAACCATTATTTTGTTTCTAAATTCTGTATTTTTTGTCTTTTATAGACAGGGTCTTATTTAGCTCAGCTGGACTCAAATTCAGAGGAGCTGAGGATGACCTAGAACTCTAGAGCTTTCTGTCTCTGCTAACCCAGGTGTGGAGGATACAGCTAAGTCACTACTCCTGGCCTCTTGCTCTCTTTTTTAGTAAACTGAAGAACAATGTAAAATATGGATGCTTCACAGGTGAAGAATTTAAGTTGTATTAGCAATTTATCATCTTAGGGCTATGAGTAAGACAACAGTGAAAAAATAACATACTTGAAATTTCTTCAAAACCATCCCAGAACTCCTTAACGTTGGCATTTGAAACAATGCTGTCTTTGCAGTTCAGGAGATCAGCTTGGTGGTCTCCAAAATCCAGACTAATTGATTCTGCCTTCCACAAGCTAATGTTCATTTTCTTATGCACACCGGAAACCACTGCAGGCTTTATGAATAAACACAAATAGATAACAGTTAAAAGGCACCTAGACACTTCAAAGGTTAAGAGTACAAGCAAGTGGACGGCACTATTACATTTCGGCCCCACTGGCAATCTGTCAATATAAAGGAGGCTACTAACAAATAGTTCTGGACTTGGAAAGATGCTTCTATGTGAATGAAAACAATAGTGAGGGAATACCATGGCAAGGGTGCCATTTATTTACTTATTTGGTTCTTACTTTGACACAAGGTTTTTGCAATATGATAGAAGCTGTCCTTCAGCTTTATCTCCTGAGTGCAGGGACTACCTAACATGTGCCATCATACCCAACAAAACGGCATTGTACAGAAATTTCAATGGCTAGGTTTTCAGAAGAGAAGTCTATGGGTGGCAGAGATATTTTCGGAGACTGCTTCCTCTATAGGCAACCTTTTTATAGACACTATGTTATCTATCTATAAGTGTGCAATCTATGCATTCACATTTGAAATAAAAAAGGGAAGATCAAAACACTGTGTATTCACAACACTTAAAACACATTTTCTTTCACTTTTACAGGAGGCCTGAAAACAACACTGAGCACAGGCATGATACCATACTGTAAGCCTAAATGATTGACTATAAATGAATCTTGCCTTTTAGAGCTCATGAATTCAAATTTTACAACACCGTTTAACTGAAAAACCAGTAACTGATGATTTACTACTTCTAAAAATTCCAATGAACTGTATAAAAAATCTCTGTTTAATTGTTCATGTGATATTCAGTTTTTATTCTAAGTAATAAAATATAGTTCTACAATACAGAGAATTTATGAAAGTATGACTTAAAGAGTCTCTAAAAGATATTAACTGAGACATTTAAAAATTTATCATAAAAGCCTCAAGTTAGAATTTTTAGTGACAGAAGGATCTCTCTGAATCTGGTCTACACAGAGTTCCAGGCCAGTTCAGGCTACACAGTGAGACCGTCACAAAATAAACAAGACAAAGGGCTGCAGAGATGGCTCAGCAGGTAAGAGCACCGGCTGCTCTTGCAGAGGACCCGGGTTTGATTCCCAGCACCCACACTAGTGGTTCTCAAACATCTGCAACTCTAGTTCCAAGGGATCCAATGCCCTCTTCTGGCCTTCACAGGCACTAGCCATGTAAGTGGTGCACAAATACACATGCAAGAAAAACTTTCATGTATATAAAATAAAATGTAAAAGAAAACAAACCCACAATGAAATCTAGTTGAATGCTCCACTAAATGTTCTTTCAATCAGGTAATAGTATGTTCTTAATAAGTCCAGATATTAGGTAATTACTGTTGGCAATTTATACACTACAGTTCCCACATAAAAATACTCTCATTAAGCCTTTTACCAATCCTTAAAAAAGACATCTAATTGGTATACTAAAATAATTCCAAGTAGAACTCTAAAGCTGCTGCCATCACCTTACTGAAGTATCTCAAGACTTCCCAATTAGTCCTCTCATCTCTGGTATTATTCTACGTATCTGCTGTACTGTCAATTACTTAAATTGCCAATTGCAGCTATTACTTACAGTGTATGTTAAAATTCCTTGATATGTAAGAGCCTTTCATTGTGAATTCTTTTTTTTAAAAAAAGTAATTCATTTACTTTCATTTTACATGCATTGGCATTTTGCCTACATGTATATCTGTGTGAGGGTGTCAGATTATAAGTTATAAGCTGCCATGTGGGTGCTGGGAATTGAACCTGAGTCCTCTGGAAGAGCAGTAGGTGCTAAGTAGGTACTAAGTCATCTCTTCAGCTCCTCATTGTGAATTCTTTAAGCTGTGTATTTCTTTACCACCCTCTTCTAGGTTCAGAACAAGCCAACCTACATACAGAGTTCTGCAATGACTAGTATATGTCAATTCCTTCTTTGTTAACTAGCAAAATCTTACTCAACTACTAAGTAATTCACAATAGCCTGTTTGAATTAGTACCTTGCCTTAGCCATTCTCTACTCTTTTTCACAGCACTTTTTAGAGCCCTTAAAACCTTTAATACATTCATAAAAATATTAATGTGACTGTTTCCTATCAAAAAGTTCCAACATAAAATGAAGTATTCAAAATTTTGGTTCAAACAGACTCAAAGACACATGACGTCAATCTTGTGTATATGCAAAATCTAGATGGTGTTCAACAGTGTTGTTTTGAACTGAATTATAGGTAATTAAGACAGAGAACCGCTGTAGTAAAATGTTTTGCTCATGTTTGCAAAGCCTACTTAGTTTCAGGTCTTTCGATGTTCAATAACTGTACATTAAAGTAGGGCTGATGAGATAGCTCAGCTGGTAAAAGTGCTCAGAGCCAAGCCTGATGCCCTGAGCTCAATCCCTAAAACCCACAAAGGTGGAAGGAGAGACTGACTCCCAAAAGTTGTCCGCTAACTTTCACATGCACAAATGCACACAGTCACATAACACATACACATAATACTTAGAGCAAAAAAGACAAGTACAGTAATATGTTCCAAGGAGGAGGAAATAAATTAAGCAATATAATTCCCTGACGCGGGCAATTAAGTCTGTTCATAATTTTTATATTAGATACTTAATATCTGAATCACATATAAAGCATTAAGTCAGAACTTTGGATTATAAGGAAAACCCACTGTATGTAGGCAGAAGGAAATAGAAGAAATTGTATTCAAGAACTGATAAAATCATTTTCATCAGTTCAATACAACCGCGTTTCATATTAATGTATTAGTAAAAGACTTAAAACACAAATCAGAACAGAGAACTAAATTTTATAAATCTATGACTAATGCATGTCTACTCATTAACTACAACTATCTGTCAATCTACTTCCTTGTACAATTACATACATCTGGACAAAAGCAGAAATAGTAATTCTGGTAATCTGTTAATTTGGGGATGTCTTTCTTTTCCCCACAGGAGAAATAAGTTTTCTATTTACTTCTCCTCGGGTCTACGGACAGTGTTAACCACTGTCACGTACTTACCTGTCCTTGTTTCCAACACTCTTTGAAAAGTTTCCAGTTATTACTATTCTTGTGATCTTTAAGCCATAAAATATGCTGGTCACAGATCCAAGAATGTGGTATATCACTGTATAATTTATTGTTTTCATTCATGGCAGATTTTCGGCTTTCTTTAGGTTCTTCATTAGGCTCTGATTTTACATTTATCTTGGCAGTTTTATTTGGTGGAATTTTATTTTCAACAACTGAAGCAATGATGTCATCAAGAATGTTAGGCATAGTTCGTCCACTTTTGCCACTCTATTAAGAAAAATAAACAACTTCTGAAAACAATGAAGATCCTAAGTTGGTAATGCAAGAAACTACTGGCTCTGAGGTATTCAGAAGCAGTCATCTATTTTCCACATTGGTGTGGACTCAGACAGAGGGAATAGGGTTAAGAACCCTCCATTTACTTTAAAAGCAACTATAACATTTTATCTCCTTTGGTAATTATTCTATTTTTCCTTTTTCTTGTTAAGTAATTAAACAAAACTTGTTTTGTAAGTACTTTACAGATATTTCCATATATGCTTCCCCCCAACTACTCACATAACCTTCAGGTTGTAAAGAGTTATCTTAGAGTTCTCCTGGACTCAAAGAACCTTCTCCAACATTCCACGTGAGAAAATATGGAAGACTCCAGCTTTGAATGAGAATTGGAATGAGACCAGACCTAGCTATTTATTTCAT